TGCGTACATCATTCTCAAAACATTTTCTCTCCACTTAAACCCCCGACATTAGGTCCTCATTTTTCCCCTCCCTCCCCGCTCCCCCTGGAAACTTACTTTCAAAGACTATGGACACAGGCAATTTCTTATCAAGCGATGTTAGAAAAACAATGGGATATCAATCTGTATAGAGGTAGGCCCCTCACTTAATTTTTTGTACTTTTAAATCCCGAAAGGATACTTGGAAACCTATCAGCAGAGGTCAGCTCTGCCCTGGATGAAGGCAGAGATGATCTTTGCCTCCGTTAGACTCATTGGAGAATGAGCAGACGTTACTCCGATACCAGAAGGCTCGAGCGGTGCTTCCTTCTGCTCCGCATATGGATGCTATGAGTTGGAACTGAATGACACCCCCAAACCTTTATTTGACATGGCAGCCGTCAGCTTTAGAACACTGCCCAAGTTCAGCCAGGCTCCGAGGACAGTGATTCAGGTCGATCCAGTAACCTCTTTATCGGATGAGACCTAGTGACACAGTCCAGCCTTTCCTCTGGTTTGTTTCGGGATAGACTGTACTGGGCTTCGCAGGGCACTCCACTGGAGGATGGTGATACAGCCACCCTCTCTGCCCGGCAATGGTGGGGCCGTCCACACACCCTTCAGTGTTCCTCAGTGCTCAGTATAAGGACTAAGGGCCCCGAGGGGTTGGTACAGTGTTTAAACACTCCACTGTGAACCCAAAGGTGGCAGCAGCAGCAGCATGGGAGAAAGGCCCTAACTCCCTTGCTTCAGAAGAATCTTTTCATCTAACTTTATGAAAATGACTAGAAATCAGCCATGGAGATTTGGCGTGAATAGTGCGTAACGTTCAGTAAAATCAAAACTCACCGCTATCAGCTGACGCCAGTGTTTCATTGGGGAAGTCACAGGAGGGATGACTAGTCCTTCAACACTAAGCCCACCAGTGCCACCTTGTGGCGAGCCGGACTCCTGCCGCAACCGAGCCGGGGCTGGCTCCACCACGCCTGCAGCCCATGAAACACAGGCCCAGGCAGAGACCCGGGGCGCGGGTCCCACTTGCCGTATGACTGGTGCCGCCCCTTCCCACGGATGCCGAGGTTCGACCTCTGCCATTCGCCCTTCCTGCTGGCAGGCCCGGGGAAGAAAATGGAGGCCAAGGCCGTGTGTCGGTGGGCTCCTGCTGCGTCCGCCCACCACGGGCTGTTCTGAGGCAGGGACAGCGCCCAGGACCCCTTCCCAGGGCTCTGGACCGAATTCACAAAGTTATGAAGAAAAGTTTTATGCTTACAGTGAGCCTTGTGCTTAAAAGTTTTTATTCATCAATGTTAGAGCAACCATTACCAAGTGGGCACTATTCTGTCATCTGTTATCG